CCAAGTAGCTGGGACCACAGGCGCCCGCCACAACGCCCGGCTATTTTTTGGTTGCAGCCGTCATTGTTGTTTGGCAGGCCCTGGCTGGATTCGAACCCGCCACCTTGGGTGTACATGGCTGGCGCCTTAGCCACTTAAGCCACAGGCGCCGAGCTGAGCCTCCACATTTTATGGGGGTTTGAACCTTTCCAACAACACATTGAACCCTGGTGCTGGTGTGGCTGTTCAGTAGCTACAAAGGAACTTAAGGCTATAACAAAAGATACTAGACACAACCAGCAACCCTGATTTTAGTTCTGGCTGAGTTAGAAAGTTGACCTCCTCTCTCATCTGGCCCCTTCAAAGTCTTAGACTCTACTAGGACTAGTATTCTTACATTAAGAACCAGAGGCAAAAAAAATGAGCACAGTGTACACGATAGGAGTAAAAAAAAAATTAATAAAGCTAATTATACCAGAGATATTAACAGCTGGTACATATGTATGTACATGTTTCTATGTGTCATATATAACATATTCATAATTTGAAGATAACCATTTGTGTCTTAACAGTCACAGATGAACATTAGAGTATCAGTACATGTCACTCAGCACAGAAGAAAGGACAGGAATGGGAAAAACATTTCAAAAGGTACTCCCCTATTCTGGGAGCAACCCTTTGAAAATCACTGTTTTGTACACATTCATGATTCTTCAGAGTGCCATTTTTGTTTGCAATACTGTATAACCCTACCAATGATCATCTCAGCTCTCTTGCTACACTGCAGGCTGCACAAGAGGACACATCTACTTTTAGTGGAAAATGGATCAGTGCCTAATCTTATGTGATTAATAAATCTTAACCAACTAATGTCACTACAGTGATGTTAGGAAAAACTAAACCCACAATAATTTGACTATCTAAGTCCTAAAATGTTAGTAACTAGAAGAGGCCATTAAAAATAAATTACACCAGAAGTGGTGCCTGTGGCTCACTGAGTAGGGCACCGGCCCCATATACCAAGGGTGGTGGGTTTGAACCCAGCCCCAGCCAAACTGCAACAAAAAAATAGCCAGGCATTGTGGTAGGCGCCTATAGTCCCAGCTAGTCGGGAGGCTGAGGCAAGAGAATCACCTAAGCCCAAGAGCTGGAGGTTACTGTGAGCTGTGATGCCATAGCACTCTACCAAGGCAAAGTGAGACTCTGTCTTAAAAAAATAATAAATTAGTCCAATTCCCTATTTTAAGACAAAACACTAAAGTCAAGAAAGGTTAATTCATTACAATTATACCAGTATTCTTGACTCTTTGTCTAATATTTTTTTTGCCTAATATTTTTCTATACCATATTCTTTTCATATACAAAAGCTTAGTTTCATTCAATTCAAAGAGCTATATTTTGCAAAGTAATGTATTATAATTTCTTGGTTTTATACTATTATAAGAAATAACTTCTACCTCAAAATAAAATCAAATCAGTCTATTTCTTTTCTCATCTAGTTGTTGTTTGATATCTTCCCACTTATGGTAGCAATAAATTCTTTAAGAGAGAAGCACTAAAAATTACACACTTTAGCTTCAGTATAGAAGCTTGAAGCAAATTCTAGCACATTTTAAGAAAGAGTATTACTTTATAACTCTTTCCACACGGTCATCCAGGAATTCTCTGGAAATATGATTTGCTCAGCATTTTAATTCTTTTTTTTTTTTTTT